TTTAACTTTTTTTTTTTACCTTCGGTGAAAAGTGGGAAAAATGGGGTTTTACCCCCTTATATAGCCAATATTTCCCTCAAACGCCCCTCATAAACTAGAAATCCCAATCGCGTCCAAGGAAAACAAATGACGATGGGCCGCTTCGGGCTTTGATCTAAGGCCCGAGGCAACTCTCATTGCCACCTGTAAACAAACGGGCTGGATCGGGTCAGGCTTTGACCCGAGGCCTAGGTAAAGTTTCATTACCGCCTCATCAAATGACATGCAACACAAACCAGGACCGGGTCGGGCTCGGGTCATGGCTCGAATATTAATCCATACCCAGCGCCAGCTACATGGTCGAGGTTACCTATCGCCGGCTGTGTTTCAACAACCATAGTGCCAACTGTGTGCTCGGCAACTCAGCGCCGACTGTGTTCAAGCACGTGTTGTCCTCAGTGCCGGTTGTGTTTTTAACAATCTAGCGCCGGCTTAGTGGTTAAAAAGCAGTGTCGGCCCATCTTCAATGCTGGTTGCGCTTTCGAAAACTCATCGCCGGCTGAGCACTCGCAAGAAATAACGGTTGCTACACCTGGCATCGACTGTATTTTAAACATCCTAGGCCGAAGCCATGTTTGTCCTATTGTTATCCCCAGTGAGGTTACACCTTGACTCTGACATATTGCCCTAGCAAAGTGGAACCTAGGTCGATCAAAATCAGGTCATGACTCCTCATCCCCAGTAGGAGAGTCATGCTCGTACTGCATACTATTATCCTTAGTAGAGTTACGGTCATTCTTACTGCTGCAACCCCCAGTGGTCTGCCTCATGCTTATTTATTATGCCTTCAAGCTTATAAAAGACCCACATTTGTCCCCTCTTCCCCAATAAGGTCATCTTTCTTATCTGGATCCCTCATCGGTCCTACCTATCTTTTCCCCATGGAATCAAACTGCTACCCACAGACCTATTCCCCATGAAGTCTCACTTACAGGGCGATTAAACTACATGTTCCAAACTATATGACCTTAAACTATAGTGGAGATCTAGTTGCACAACCTTAAATTGTACGGTCCTAGTTGCATGACTCTAAACTGCATAACCACGGTCCAAACTATATGACCTTAAACTATAGTGGAGGTCTAGTTGCACGACCTTAAACTACACGGTCCTAGTTGCATGACTCTAAACTGCATAACCACGGTCCAAACTATATGACCTTAAACTATAGTGAAGGTCTAGTTGTACGACCTTAAACTGCATGGTCCTAGTTGCATGACTCTAAACTGCATAACTACCGCCCAAACTATATGACCTTAAACTATAGCGAAGGTCTGGTTGCACGACCTTAAACTGCATGGTCCTAGTTGCATGACTCTAAACTGCATAACCACGGTCCAAACTATATGACCTTAAACTATAGCGGAGGGCTAGTTGCACGACCTTAAACTGCGTGGTCCTAGTTGCGTGACTCTAAATTGCGTAACTACGATCCAGCTGTATGACCTTAAACCATAGTGTACATTCTGACCTTATGACGTTAAACTGCTTTGCACAGGTCCCGAAGGCATGACCTTAAGCACGCCCCCACATATGCGCACACGCATTTTACGTGTTCATCATTCCCCAGTGAGTCTCACCCACGCTCACAAAAAGGCGAACCATCCAGATACCTATACCTGTCGTAAGCTAGTGGGTCACCCACCTTTCATACATCATCCATCTGACACCGGTAGCCTCATGCCATCTCCCCAAAAGTGAGCTAGAACCACTACCATACTCACCCCATGACCTCTACAGACTGTCATTCATCACTACCACGGTCCAGCTATATGACCTTTAAATTGTAGTGTACGTCCTGGCCACATGACATTAAACTGCTTTGCACAGGTCCCAAAGGTATAACCTTAAACATGCCTTCACAAAAAAAAAATGAAATAACGAGCATGGTCTGTACCTTAATAGGGGAACACCATGAGTAAAAATGATGGACGAGCATGGTCACGAAACCATGAGTAAAAGAGTTCCGTGAAAATAAAAACCCAGGCATGGTGAAAACCTAAAAGGGCATCGTGAGTAAAAATGAAAGAATAAGGGTGGATATGGTCGTAAGGTCATGGGTCAAAGAGCCCCAAAATAAAAGGAAGTTGGTAAAAACTGTCTATACGACACCGCTTCCTAAGTTCAAGTAAAAATCCATAAAAGACGCTTGGACCAATAAACAGGTTGATGCAGCGCTTGCCTCAACAAGCGGCTTCAGCCCTCACTCAAAAAGAAAAAAATCCTTGATGTTACAATATCAGGGTCCAAAAAAAATACAAGCTCTAAGGAAAGGATTCTGACAGCCTGAGTCCAGTTGCAAAAAGGACTCGAAGGACAAAAGATTCACCAAGAAAGAAAGGAAAGTCTCATGAAGAAGAGTATCATTCCCAAGAGGTTACAAATGTACTCCAAGATGCTAGAGACGCCTTGAGAAGACTAAGTCAGCCATGACTTTGGACCTGCTATGTAACGAACTGCACAGCAGTGGGTAGGGGTGGTTGTACCCAAAGCTGGTCACCTCGATAAATTGAGGTACCCTACCCTCCAAGGAACAACTGGTGCACGATGCAGACGATCTCCAACAAAAGGCTCTTCAGCACAACAAACAAACGAGAAAGTCACTCCGACGAACCAAAGATGCCCCAAGAAGGTTAAGTCAATCATGACCCTGGAGTGACAATCAAATGATTGTCGTAGCTACAAAGCAGTGGGCAGGGGTGGTTATACCCAAAGTTGGTTATCTCGATAAACTGAGCTACCTTGCTCGCTAAGGAACAACTGCTGCATGATGCAGATGAGCGCCGACCAAAGGATCTTTTGTTGTCTATCCAAGACAAAGAAACCCAGACCAAATGGGAACAATACCTTCCACATGGCACTCAATTGCCAGACGGGCGTGATTCTAACTGGCAAGGTCCGTACAAAATCTTCAGCTTCAGAATCACAAACAGTCAACACGAGGGTGAGGACTTCGACAAGTTCCCTAAAAAAAGTGTCTTCTCCCCCTAAAGTCTCCACAGACGGACCCACGAACAATGCATCCCTACATTTGCGCATCCTAGTTGCACCATTTCGTGAATCTCCTCGATGATCACGTGGTCTTATGGCTAGAAAGAAAAAAGTAATGAAACTGAAGGACATTTTCTGAACATTGTCCTTCTCGCTTCTCTCGAAGAACAACATTCGGTGAGGCATGCTATTTGAACGCATTTTTCAGCACCTTGGTCCCTGATGCGAAATACAGAGGAAGCAGGTCGATAAAGCCTATAAAACAGTGGAAATTTCAACAGTCTCATAATCGCCCCAAAAATTATCAAGATCTTCATGATTACTCCAAAAGGCTACCTGCCAAGTTTCATCACGATCAGACATGTGTAAGGCAGTGAACATAAAGAAACAATTTTCGTAAAATCGGCCTCTAGCACCTTGAAATGGACCCCGTAACTAGAGCTATATTTTTGGTGTGTTAAACAGCTATGGGACCACTGTCATTGGATCCGACATGATTGAAAATCCTTAAGGGGTCAAGTTTTGGCTTAATCGGACACTCCAAGACAACGTTATGGGTAAAATACCGAAAAGGGGTAGGCTGCACACTATTCTTGTGTGTCCACCTTGCACCAAAGCGCCATTAAAAATGACTATTTTACATAGTCAGTGACTTTCAGGCCCTATATCTCACTCCTTCTAGGTCGGTTCACACTCAAATTTTGTGTGCGTGTTCATCTCGTCAAGACGAGTGTCTCAATATGTGGTATACCCCGTGATGATGTCCAAGCAAGGAGAAAAACTAGAAAGAAGTTGCTGATCCGTGAAGAAAATTACAGAAAATTCAGCACCAATACGCCTCACTCGAGCGACCAAATCATGGCGTTCGCGTACCCGATCGACACGAAAGCAATTGCATTATGTGCATAAGATCTGTGGCTATCTCCGATCTGAAACCCGCGTACGATGAACAGATGGATTTCACACATGGAGGTATCAAAGCTGCTGTAAATTTCGGCTGTCAGATTTCAAGATTCTGACCAAAAACTCAAGATGACAAAATCTTCATCCGGACACGAAATCGAGCTGCGTTCATTGCAACGTGATCATGACGGCATACTCAGTGTGATTCAACGAAGAAACTAAATAAAAACATCAAGGAATGAGCGCACAATTGATCCAAACTTTTCAAGATTCAAGCAAATTTCAAAGTTCATGATCATTGCTTAAAATGATGATTCATGGCTCGAAGTTGGTATCAAATCGATCGTCATACCAAGCCTCACAAGAAAACAATCATCTTTCGATCAAACAGGCATCAAAACAACCCCGTATCAGTCATGGAAGATCACGCAAGTTTTCGGGCAGTAGCAGGGACTGTTCTGGAATTCCACACATCGTTAGACAGGGGCAAAATAGTCTTTTTACACCCATTTTTAGAATTTCTTTTAATTTAATTAAATTGTAATTATCTTCAATTTTAGGTAGTTTTTTGGCATACACCCATATTTTAGCTCAATTTATATAAACATGCAAAGCTTCATTGTAAAGCACCTCTTGGGTTCATTCTTAAATATTCAATAAAGACTTCATTTTTGCTTAAGCTCATGGGTGCATAGTGAAAAGGGAGAGGAGAGAGAAGAAAATGACCGGTACCCTTCGGTAAGAAAACAGGAAAATACAGGCCGAGAGAGGCGATTCTGAACCAGTTTTATGACTGGAGGGCTTTCTTCATGATTTAAGAGGGCGCCCACATGAGCGAGTCCGAGTAAGTCCCGAACCTACCTTAAATTCCTCTCTCATCGGTTGGTAATACTTGCCTTTGTTCTCGAACAAGGTTCTCGAGAGAGCGATCTCAAAGTCCCGGGTCTCCCGGGTCTCGTGCCGTCTGATCATTCAGATCCGGAGGGCGAGATCGAGGCATCTAACCACACTCATCTTGAGATTGTAAGGTTTCTGACAAATAAATATTTTATTAAGAAGAGACTTACCTTCATGAGTATTTTTCAGCTTGTCCCATAAATTTTTCGTGGAATTTTCTAAGGAGACATTGAATAGAATAGACTCATCAAGTGCCAAGAAAATATTTGCCCCTGCCAATTCATCATTCTCATCAAATTCCTCATAATCCATCTTTTTCGGTTTATTTTCTCTGCCTTTTAAAGCCACTACACAACCACTTTTCACCAACACCGCATGCATCTGTAATTTCGAAGTTGAGAAATCCGAACCGTCAAATTTTAGAATTTTATATATGGTTGAACTTCCTCCAATCATCTTTAAATATCTACAATCTGCCACAAACCTTATGCCCAGCAAGGATCAAAAACAACCTTAAGGCTCTGATACCAATTGTAGAGGATAAAAACCAAGGTTTGCCAAAATAAGGGAAAGAAAAATAGTGCAAAAAAATAAAAAAACATAAACTCAAATATTTATGTGGTTTGACAAGTTGCCTACATGCACAGGGCAGTAAAGTTCTCTTCCACTTATGGGAAAAACATCATGCAAGCATGGAGAATACACCGGATACAAGAGATTCCAAGCTCTCTCTCAAGCCGGTATTTCTCTCACTAAAATACCTATCCAATGACTAAATAACTAACCCTTATCTCTCTCTCTGCAAAGTTCAACCTTTATAAAGATAAACAACCCATAGGGGTCACGTGAGCCTCTTTACCCATTTCTAATTGGACTAGATTTCCTATATCTAAGGGGATTTACTTTAAACAACCCATAGGGGTCACGTCAGCCTCTTTACCCATTTCTAATTGGACTAGATTTCCTAAATTTAAGGGGATTTACTTTCCTACACAATAGGATCTTAAACACATCACGTATTGTTCCTAAAAATAGGAAACAATGGATTCATCACCTATATCCAACATTATAATGATGAAAAACATTAAAAAATATATTACAAATAAATTTTTTTATTTTTTGAGATTTTATATAATTTTTTAATTTTTTTAAAAAAAATTTCGGCTGGTCACTAAAACCAGCCGAAACTGGAACTTAATCAATTCCGATTTATCCGAGCGGTTGCCAATTAGACCACTCGATTTTTACTTCAATGTTGTGGAGAGAGAGCAGAATAAAGTAGGAGATATAGAGCCCTCATCTGTTGGGAGAGAAACAATGAAGAGAGAGCCAAGCAAAGAGAGAGAGAGGGGTATAGAGATTGTGGAGAGAGAGAGAGCAAGACAAAGAGTGACGGGGGTAGATAGAGAGCGCGTAGAGTAGAGAGATCCGATGAGAGAGAGACCGAGACAGAGAGAAGCTTGAAAAGGGAGAAAAAATTGAGGATAGAACATACCTGAGAAAGTGAGTGGACATGGCGACGACCCGAGCTGAGAGATCCACATGAACCCAAGAGAAAGGGATTATGGGGAGAGGAGAGAAGGAAAGGGAAGTGAAGAGGGAAGAGCGAGGGGAAAGGAAAATGCAAAGAAGAGAGACGTCGAGGGATTATGGGCTTCATATAGAGTATCTCGATGAAACAGAAATTTCAATCCCTACTATCCATTCTATCTATCATTCAACAGTCCCGATGAGCACCCACTTCCATTTGGAAATACTACATCTTTTGTTATTATTTTTCATATATATATCAGCCCATGGGCATGAGCACCCATTTAGAAATGCTAGATCTTTTGTTATTATTTTTCATATATATATCAGCCCATGGGCTGAAAAAAACATTATAAGTCCAACGATCCAAATTGAATCTGGGCCGATTTAATATTCAGAGTTGTATTTCATAATTTAATTTAAATTTTTTTTCTACAAATCCATATCACTTGAAATTTGGAACATCTATTCTTAAAAAATTATAGAATCTGATAAAAATATCAAAAAAAAATCGCATTAATTAAATTGACAAAAATATAGTTGAAAAGTTCCAGGGGCATTTTGATAAATTTGGTTTTTTGCAAATTATTTTTTAAATATTTTTATTAAGTGAACCTTGATGAGAAGCGTTGATGCTCCAAATTTCATGTTTTTTAGATTTATATAAAAATTATTAAAATTATATTACCGAAATACAGTCTTGACTATCAGATCAGCCCCGATTCAATCAGGGTTGTTGGATTTATACTATTCTATCAGCTAGTGGGCTGACCCTAGCATGTCACTATGTCATTGTAGTATAATGAAACCACACTTCTAAAACCACCTTGTTTGTAGCATTTGATGATCCCAAAATTTACACTCTCTTCATCTCAATAATCAATTCTTAAAAATTAAAATTCAACTTACATCCTAGGTCAAAATGAGGCCCCTCAACAATAAATTTGGACCATCTATTTTTGTGAATTTTAAGATCTAGGCCTATATAAATTCAAAATTAATTTTTTCTTTTTTGATATTGTTAATCTATTGATAATAAAATTATCCAAAAAAATTGGAAAGGGAAAACATCTTTCTAAAACCTAGATCTAGGCATCTCACTAAAATAGACAATCTATATTAGTTGGGCTAAGAAAATACATGTTTATTCAAATTTTACTCTTTTGTGATTGTTAATTAGCATGAAAAGAGTGTATATTCAAAATTTGGAGTCAAATAAATAACCCTAATATGATTTTTCAATATTGCTTTATTATATTACTATAGAAGTTTTGTATAAAAATGTCTGTATGGGGCAATTCCATGCAATGGTCCTATAGTAATATAACAAACAATCTTTAAAAATTATATTAGGACTATTTGCTTGACCCCAATTTTCAAATGGGACTATATATTATGAGACCATTTATTTTTAAAAAAATTACATTATTATCGGTTTTATTTGTCGTTATTATCAAAATATCTAAAACTTTTTGTTGTTACTCATATGTCTTTTTCTTATTACTTCATAACACTTCAAAAAAAACAAAAAAAAACACAAAACAAAACAACAAAAAAAACAAAAAAACAAAAAAACAGAAATAAAAACAAAGACCGAATTGCCCATATTCAATTTTTCAAAAAAAAAAAATGAGTCTGACTTAAGTTTTTGAAAAATAGCCCCATCCGTCTCTCCTACCCTAACCTTTACGTCCTCTTGTTTTCTGCAATTTTTTCTCTCTTTCTCTCTTTCCTCTCTCTCAATAAATCTGTGCAATTTCTTCTCTCTTTCCTCTCTCATCCTCCTGCCCTTTGCCTCTGTTGCTTCCCTCTCTTCACTCTGAAACTTGCCTATTTTCCTCATTCCTATCCGTCAAATCTCGGGTTTCTTTCTCCTCTCGGTGTTTCTCTCTCTAAGCTATCTTCCATCGATCATTGACTTCTGGTCTGTATTTTCTCTATCTTGGTGTTTCTTTGGAACTCCCATCTCTACTTATTGGTTTTTCGCTCTCTAACCTCTTCCATCCTCAGATGAGATTAATTGTTCCTTTTCTTTATGTGATTTTTGGGCCCCCATTGTGTGAGGACCAGTAGCTGCCACTGTACATTTTTATTGCACATTGCGATGGTGCGGAGTGCTGATGCACTTCTGCTTGGAGAATATTGGACCATGAGTTTTTCGTCATAATTTTTTAATATATTTCCATTGTTTTATTACAAAAGTTCGAGAGAAAAAAGAGGAGCCCCAAAAAGTTCATGGTCAGAAAGAAACATGGTTAAACGGGCTTAAACGGATGCGGCCCAATTTCCGTTTTTTAAAAAACGAAATTGGTTTAATTTCAGTTTTTAAAAAACTGAAAATAGGTAGTTTCATTTTTTTTATTAAAAAAATTGTTATGAAGTTCAAAAAACGGATATACGTTAATAACAAAAAATAAAACGAATATATACGTAATTTTCACATTTATTTTTGGTATAAAGAGCTTACAACAATTTTTAGCCATTGGATGTAAAATCTAATAGATAAAAGTGTGATAACTTTCGAAAAAAAATATTTTAGAATTTGTGCTTAAATGATAACATATCATCAACCACTCACTTTCAAATGTAACGACTAATGATGATTGGGATTCCCTTTTTAAGGAAAAAGTTTATATAAGGATGCTACCTTATAATGTAGAACTACGGATGTACCTCAAAAATCCATCGGAAAAAGTAGTTTTAATGTTGAAACACCCTTTGATTGATCATCTCGACATCGAGATGTATGACTATGAAGAATAAAAAGATTTTAAGTCTCAAAAATAGTGTATTTTACAACATATTATCAACTCCATCCATTTTCAAGATTTTCATATGTTTATAGATCTACTTGATTTTAACCATTTTTTAAATTTAAAATTTTATAATTAGATATAAAAATAGATTTTGAGATAATCCTAATAACATTTTACATCAAAATTATATACCATGATAAACTTTGAAAGGCACCATACCTCTACACCTACGAAAGCATCCATATGCCAACTCACCCCCTTTTCAAATATAGGGCAAGTTTTCTATGCTTCCCCTACAGCCTAAAACTTTTATACTTCCCCTTATCAACCGTCCAATTCTAAATGGAAGGCTAAGATTGCTCTACTCACATTATCACATCTCCACACTATTTTATTTTTAATTTTTTTTTCTATAAACCATTTTGACACCAACTTTTCGACATCCAATCCTCTATTAAACTCGCACTAACAAAAAATATAAAAAAAAATATTTCCAATATAATAAAATGACCAAAATACCCCATGAAAATTTCAAGAGGTATTTTGGTCATTATATTTTATTGAAAAATTGTTTTTAATATTTTTTATAGGTACACCCCAATTTATAGGTACACCCCAATTTATAGGTACACTCCAATTTATAAGTACACCCCAATTTATATAAAAAAACTAAAAATAAAATACTTTGAGACGTCGGAGCAAAAATCAAACGGTAAGTGGCTCTCTTGATCAAAATTGGATGGTTGGATGATAAGGGATGCATAGATCTTCTATGCTGTAAGGAAAATATAAAAACCTTTCCCTCAAATATATACTCTTTTCATATTCTAATGAACAATCACAAAAAAACAAAAATTTAAAAACACACCCTAAAAAGCATTTTTTTAACCCAAGTAATATAGACCATCCATTTTAGTATGCTTAAATTTAGGCCTTACAAATATCTTTTTCCTTTTTAAAATTTTTTGATAGCTTTATTAGCATTAATTTAACAATATTAAAAAAAAAAAAATGATTTTGAACTCGTAAAAGGCTACATCTTGAAATTCTCCAAGTGGATGGCAAAAGTTCATTGTTGGAGGGAACTCCTTTTGAGATTTGACCCTATCTGGATGTAAATTAAATTTTATTTTACTTTTAATTGATTATTGGAACCAAGAGAGTCATACAAATGCCACAAACATGATTTTCTAGAAGAATAGTTTCATTATATGAAATTATCATGATCACATGAAATCAATCCCCTAATGTATATAGGAACGAATAGAAAAGTGGGAGAATTTTGTTGTAACTTCAAGGAACCATGTTATTATTCTTAACAAGATTATACATTTACGGCACAAATTACAGGCAGAAGCCCCGAAAATTAGCTCACCAAAAACAAAAACGAAACAAAGAATAAACCAAGTGCTGCAATCTATATCGCAAACCTAAGCTCCTGTTGCATCCTTTTGATAGGGGAACTGCCTTTTTTCATGTTAACCTGAAGAAAAGTAAAATAATTGTTTTACAGGACATCAATTTGAACCATATTCACAAGTAAACGTGGATTGGAAAGCATGCTAAGAATATATCCATATATATATCGAAGGCCAAGGCGAAGACCCTGTTGGGAAAAAGTTTTATCAAACGAGCAAATGCTGCAAGAGAAAAGTACTAGACAGGATAAGAAAGTGGATGTGTACTATGAGACCATCTATTTCTGGTCTAAGAAGGTCAAAATTGCCTTTATCCCTTACACTGAGAATTTGGACATAAAGAACAATCCACAGTTTGAGAAAAATGCTATTGAGCATTGTGCATAATCAATGACATACCTTTAGCCATATGATTTCACTAGGAATAATTGTGACCTCCTTATGTCAAAAGTAAATGGTCTCATCTTACACTTTCTCAATAAGAAAATCATGAAATAATGAACCTAAACTCAGCTTCTATTGAAACCAGTTAATTGTGAAAGCAAGCTGCCCATCACGAACTCTCAAATGGTTCCACAACGAAGGGGGGGGGGAGGAAAAGAAAAAATAAATAAATACTGTTATGACTCCACTCTCATCATCTTATCCCTGCACTTTACTTACCTAGGACGAGATTCTTTCCCCATCACAAAAAGGGCTAGGTCAGCTTCTTCGGGCTTTATGGGACAAATTTCACAGAGTTTTAACCTCCATATGCCTAACACTAATAAGGGACGATTCTCCTCGCAAATTATTATTACCAAGAGAAGAAAATCTTTTCAAAACAGAATGTCACAGTAATTGAATAGATCACGTTTAGAAGCAAAATGCTGAACAACAAAGAGAACCATATTTTAATAAACATAATACAGATTACCAAATAATAAGCATTTTTTACATTTTAATTCACATTATATACAGGAAGAAGGACTAATATTTAGGCAACACTTTTCTTTGTGCATTAATTGAGAGAGAGAGAGAGAGAGAGAGAGAGAGAGAGAGAGAGAGGAGGCGGTACAATACAACACTACTACTTACTCTACGTACTAGTAGTAGTAGTAGTAGTAGTAAGTAGACGTAAGTAGTAGTAGTAGTAAGTAA